AAACCTGCAAGAACTCAACGCCAGAGGGGTTTTCGGTATAGAGCCTCCGACGCTCAAGTCAGTATGTGAAAGAGATGAGATGGAGGAAGCTGCCCTGAGAGCAGCAACAGTAATGGAGGAAAGTATAGAATGAATGAGAGTTAAGGTTTTGGAGTTACCTCACCTCCTTTATATAGAAGTAAAACATTTACCTGAAGTCCCCAAAATGCCCTGGCCGACTTACTGGAAATGTCCAAAAGTACCCTGGTCGATTCACATTCCGTCCACCTCCTAGTCAGCATCTAGATTCTTCCTTATCCTTGATAGCTTCCTTCTTATCCTTAACAGCTTTCCTTCGAGTTGAAGTGTATTGGAGTCGTCGGGATCTATGAGCTTCAAGACTTCCTCAGTCGACTTGGGATATCAACTCGAGTCGACTGGGTCATATTCAATCGTTAGTAGGTCCTGACACGTTTGACCGTCGTCCCGGAGGAAATCGACTTATGTTAGTCGACATGTGGAGGTCGACTAAGATGAGTGCCGGGACCCTTGACCGGAGATATCATAAAGAATCTGCGGACAGAGTCGACTTTGCGTAAGTCGACTCGGTAATCTCTGAACCGTAGTTAGTATAAACCGATATGCGATAGTATGGCTATATCAGTCCCCTTTGAGTTTAATGATAGCTACTCTGTCGTTTTGGAAAAAATAATATATAAGCTTTTTAGCTTATTTTTTATGAATTACTAAGATTTTTCCCAAAAAAATAAGTTTTAAGGGTATAAAGGTTTTATTGTTGTTTTAGAGTTTTGAATTATTTTTTACAAAAAATTATGGGTCAAGGTTATTTGAACAATTTGGTTTAATTAAAAGGTTATTGAGAAAATTGTAAATTTGATCCCATAATTTTGGTTGTTTCTCACATTTGGTCTCAATCACGCCATTCTTTTTTTTTTAAAAAAAAAAAACTTATTTATCTTTTTCAAATGTATTTTTCTTTTTGGTGATGTTGCCTACTTGTGTTTCTCATTGACTAATTTGTGGCTAATGTAGTGCTGGGACTTGTGTTTAGCATATATTATTTTATGGCTAATTCTGGGAGTTGGGACGGTGAGTTAAAATCTTTTTTTTTTTCTTCTCAGAACGGTGAGTTACAGTTAGGCTTTGAAAATTGTGATGTTTTATTAAATTGTTCCTGATATTATATCTTTTTTGAAAAAAAAAAAAGTAAAATGGTGGGCTTGGCTCGCCATACCCGCGGCCAGAGGTAGGGGCAGGTTGGGCTTGTATTTTGTAGGCGGGCTAGCCCGTCCCGTCCCACCCACCGACCCATTTTGATATCTCTAGTCAAAACTGACGAGGCTCACGTGAAGATGTTAGATTGAACCAATTTTGTAATTTTTTTTTTAAGAAACAAAAAAGAGTTCTTCAAGTTCGACAAGAAGATAAGTCAGATTATTTTGACTTTTAATTCAAAACTGGAAAACTAACTTTTTTAATTAAATAGTTTGACTCACTTTTATAAGATATTATTCGAATGAAATTTAAAGTTAACAGGGTTCACGTTCAAGCCTTTAGCAACTTTTGAGACCAATCGTATGACACAAATTTTATGTATTTCATATTTTTTAACTTGAAAGTCGAATTAGTCTTTCTCTTTCACTCAAAGACGAAATGACATAATAAAATTAATTTACAATGAATATGATGCGTTTTTTACTTCATCTTGTCCTCTATCAGAAACAAGCTTCAAGGTTGGAAGAACAAACTTCTTTCTCCAGCGGGTAAAGAAGTTCTAATCAAATCAGTCATCCAGGCACTTCCTGTTTTTCTATGACTTGCTTTAAGCTGCCAGTTGCCATCTGCAAAGAAATTTCAAGGTTGTGTGCAGCTTTCTGGTGGAAATCAGGTGATAACTCTGACAGTGGAATTCATTGGAGGAAATGGGAGAGACTCACCCTTCCCAAACTCAAGGGAGGTCTTGGTTTTCATGATATAAGCCTTTTCAATGAGGCCCTGATCTGTAAACAGTTGTGGAGAATCACCTCCAACCCTGATCTCCTGGTTAGCAAAATCTTAAAGGACAGATATTTCCCCAATGACTCCATTTTCATGGTTAAAAGGACTCAAAAAGAGTCCTGGTTATGGCAAAGCTGGCTTACTGTGATGCCTACATTTGCTCAGTGTGTTAGAACTGAAATCAGGAATGGGTATTCCACTAAGATAGAGGATTGCAATTGGGTGCCTCTGATGAAAAAAGCTCATCCTTCCCTCATTGGGATAGCTAGAGGTCACTTGATTTGGGTTAAGGACTTTTGCACAACAATGGAACAAAATGGAACAATTGGTTGGTTGAACATGTCTTTGCTCCAGAGGAGAGTGCTGCTATTCTCAACATCAACACATTGAACCCTGCAAGGCCAGAGAGACTTTATTGGAGCCTTGAACCCAAAGGCCACTTCTCTGTTGCAAGTACTTATAAATTCCTGGTTGCTCATAAGCTTCAACAGATGGACATTCCAGAGTCAAGTTCAAGTACTTTTCCTCCTCATCAGATGTTCAAGAGATGCTGGCAGCTGACGATTCAAAACAAGATCAAGCATTTCCTCTGGAAATGTATTGGAACTCTGCCTACTGCTGTAAACCTAAGGAAGAAAGATATTGACATTAATGCTATCTGTTCTTTGTGTGGAGATCAACCTGAAACTACATAACACATTCTGTTTTCCTGTCCAAGAACCAGTAGAATTTGGGAATCATCCCCAGTTCAATGGGATGGCTTACAGCACTGCACTTTTTCCTTTAAATGTTGGTGGAAACAGATTAGTTCCATCAAACAAAGTGATGTTGTTAAAGCTAGAGTTCAGCTATCTACCTACTTGCTCTAGTGGATATGGAAGTCCAGGAATCTCTGGATGTTTAATAGGACAACCATGCCTGAGCCCATAGTCATTTCTGCAGCCCTCAAGGATTGGCTTGAAGCTTCTTCAGCAGCAGGGATCTGTGATGCTTCCTCTTCTAGTTAGGATTTCTTTTTCTTATTAATTTTGTTTTAGTCTTGGAGTTTGTTTTGTTTTTGAAGTGATGTATTCTAGCTAGGCCTTATGGCAGTGGAGAGATGCATTTCTTCTTTAGTTTGCTTTGCCTTTGTTTGTTAGTTGTTGAGGTTTTAGGTGCTTTGTGTAGCATCTCTCAGTTTGTCCCTTCAGTTGGCTTTGACTCTTGTATTCGTACATTTTTGTGGTTGTTTAATATAGCTACTCTATTGTTCTGACCAAAAAAAATATAATGTGAGAAATAAAAATTAGAAAATAATTTTATAAAAATAAATATCAGGTGGGAAAGTAAGGGTGTTGATAAATTTCAACTTGGGGTGGAAAAGTAAACGATATAATTGCTAATTGAGTGGTATTTATTTTATTTTCTAATTTTTTACCTTCATTACATAAAAATATTGGTAATTATTTAAATAATATTTAAATTAAAGAAAAATTAGAAAAAATATTATTTTTAATTGAATAAAGCAAACCAAAATACTTAATCCAAATTTATCAAAATTAGAAAAAATGTGAGCATGCTTTCAATAATACTAATCCTACACTTTTAAATATTAGTGTAATGTGATAATTTATATATATCCTTACAACCTTTATAAAATAATATGAATTCAAAAAACAATCTAAACTATTATTTATTATTGTCTATTTTCTTAGAAATAATATTTTAATAAGTTTTTTATTTATTAATTTTATTTTAACAACCATAAATTGAGAAATCTATTTATTTATCCAAATTACATCTACATAAAAAAATGTCAATTTTAAGTATAATAAAACAAAATTTGGCATTAAATTAAGTGAAAATAGACATTTTCTCCCACTTATTTCTAGTAAAATATATCATATACTTTTTTTGCATCTCATTTATCACGAACTAATTAATGAAATTATTTTATACACTTTTTGTTAAGTTACTCAATTAAATAATCATTTTATGGTAAAAAAAAATAAGTTAAACTGCAATTTACAATAAAACAATGTGAAAGAATTGTATGTTAGTTATATTTATCTTTTATAATTTATTAAAAAATAAATATAATGTATTGTTAGAAAAGAATGGTAATATACCTTTTTAACATTTACTAAAAACTATTTAAAAAATGTTTCTAATAAAAATAAATTTAAATAATTTTTATCAATTACTCTTTTAAGTTGCGAAAAAATTAAAACTTGTGAAAAAAAATTTATATTAGTTATATTTATCTTTTATAATTTATTATAAAAAGAAACTAAATGTATTGTTAGGAAAGAACGGTAATATGTCTTTTTTAACATTTACTAAAAACTTTTAAACAAATGTTGCTAATAAAAGTACCTTAAATATATTTTCTCACTTACTCTTTTAAACATATTTGCATTTTTAAACAAATGTATTGGTATGTATATGTTTCAAGAAAATAAGAAAAATCAAATGTTCCAAAAATTGGACAACATTTTGGCATACTTTTGAAATTAAAGTGCACAATAAGATAGAAATATACTTTTAATTTTCATTCAAAAAATATTTTAAAGTAAGTCAAACTATTTAAACAAAAAGTCTATTTTTCAGTTTTAAATTAAATATTAAAATAATATGGCTTGTCTTCTTGACAAAATTGAAGAACTCATTTTTCTTTCTTTTTCTTTTTTTGGAAAATTGCAAATGTTGTCCCACTCGTTTGAAAAATACAAATTTAATCCTAAAATTTGATTTCTTCTTTTCTTTTGGACATTGACTAACAAGTAACAATGCACGAGCGAGACTGTTAGTCTTGACGGATGTGGGACAATTTTTGCAATGAATAACAAGGATCATAAATGGCGTACTTGGGACCAAATGTAAGAAACAATCAAAGTTATGGACCAAAATTGTAATTTTGTAAAAAGTTATCTCAACTCATTTCCTCGTTTTTGTCCAACTTAGAGCGAGTTACACCACTCAGGTTGCTGAAATCCGAATAGGAAACACTACCACCTGCAAAAATGTTTCTCCGGCGAATTGCGCGGCCGTTGATGATGATGGCCAAAGTGAAGGAGACTACAGGGATCGTAGGCCTTGACGTTGTACCGAACGCGCGTGAAGTTCTGATCGGACTGTACACCAAAACCCTAGAACAGATCAAGGCGGTGCCTGAGGACGAAGGCTACCGCAAGGCCGTTGAGAGTTTCACGCGCCACCGGTTGAAGGTCTGTCAGGAGGAGGAGGATTGGGAGGCGATCGAGAAAAGGCTGGGATGTGGACAGGTCGAAGAGTTGATTGAGGAAGCTGAAGACGAGCTCAAGCTCATTGGTCATATGAACGGTGCGTTCAGTAAATTCTTCATCTTTAATTTTCTTCTTTTTTTTTTTTCTGTATCAGCTGATTTTTTTTGGCAAATCCCATTTCTCCATTTTCGATTTGATAAGATTTGATTGGATGTACGATATTTTTTTGTTAGGATTGCTTATCTTTCTTGGTTTTTGAGACCTGGCAAAGCTTGATTGCTAGATAGAGTAATTTTAAGATTTTTAATGAATAAAACCTTACAATCACAACCAAAAAGGAGAAAGGCTTTCGCTTGTGTAGTAGTGTTTTCTTGGCCAAATAAGTTTTATTGTGAAATGGTGGGTTAATTTGGTGAGCCACAAATGACATAGCTATACATGTGTTCTAGGCAGTTTTCTGTTAATATAATGCTTCAGGGTTGTATGTTGGAAAAATCGATTTTTAAGCTCAACTTGAGTTGGTTCAGACTTCGGCATTGTGTGAAGTTAGCAATGAACCAAAAAAAAAGAGGTGAAAATTACTTTCTATGGCTTTACTCAACAGCATATGTAAAGCCTTAAATGATCCATGTTGATGTTGCTTACATCAGTGCATCAGTGCTTCTCTATAACTGATACAGTGGAAAATGTATTGCTGATAAGAGAAAATCCTCTCATCACCTGAACCGGCCCATGTTTTTGTAGTTTGCGGACTCGTTTTTTGTTCTTGTAAAATAGCTGATGCAGGAGGAATAGGACATCGTGCACACTCTTTTTTTTTTTTTCCGGTTGTGGGGGAATTTTTATATTTATGAAACATCATTTATGCTCCCTTTACTGATTGTCATAGTAGCCATGACTAAGTTTAGGTGAAGAGATTGTGTGAGAAGATGATACTTTAGCCATTGAGTTCTCTGTCCAGGCTTCGAGGTGTAGCTTGATTGCAAAAACAAGCGAAAATATTATCTTAAAAATTACAAGTAAGCCATTGAGATTTGCATTTTTTCAACTGAACACCCTCTCACAATGCAAAATTCTAAAACCCTGAAAGCATCCGTTTTTTTTATTTTTTTTATTTTCTTCCTTCTTTTCCTTCCTTTTGTTCCCTTGGTAATTAGAGTCAAATACGTGGAAATTTACATTGTTAGTGGCCATTATGTTTTAACTTCTCACAGAATGGAAGCCATGGGGCATTCCCGATGATTATGAATGTGAGGTTATTGAGAACAATGCCCCTGTCCCAAAGCATGTCCCCCTGCATCGACCTGGTCCACTTCCTGAGGAGTTCTACAAGACGCTTGAGGCTGTTGACACTGGCACTTTGAATGCTGCAATTTCAAGCTCAGAAAAGAAAAACCCCGAGAACTCTGGGGAAGTGCAAGCACAGTAGCTTGCTTCTATGATTGTTTTCGGTTTATTTTTCAAGCACTTTCGACTGTTGGGAGTTATAATAATCATTCTGCTCCGAGTGTAAGATTTGTTGTTGTCTCGTGTTTTGTTCTTAATGACATACATTATCTTTTGTTTTCTTCTTTATTTGACCATATGTCCGTATCGTGATCATCTGGATGAGAAAGCTCCAGTTTTTAGTTGATAATTTCAGTTGATTTTCCCCTTAGACTGAGCTTTGATTTATTATGCTTAATGGGTGCAATTAAGCAGCTGATACTGGGTATATTACTTGCTTTTACGCCTTCTACCCATCTGCCTTTTATATGCTCACAACTGGGGTTAAGTGACAATGTAAGCCTTCTCCAAATCGAATTTAATGTTTTGATATAGAGTGATATTGGTTATTCTCTTCCCGCGATGTGTGTTCAATTAGTTGCAAGAAAAAGACGATGACAGTAGAATCGTCATAAAGAGTGGCTGGGCAAGACGAGAGTATAATTCTCACAGCAATATCATTCTATCTCTTAAATTAAGGATACTAAATTACAAGATTTCATTAATAAGGTGCACAATCACTTCGACTGGCAAATTACACATCAAACTGCTTCAAAAAATCCAAATATCCCCAGTTTGCTAGTCCAGCATTGTACTTATCGAACTTGCTAGTCCAGCATTGTACTTATTGAACAACAAATCCGAAGTTCCTTCAAGAAGAGAGACAACTCCCACTTCCAAATTGTTTGAACTTTGAACAGAATACCCCTGAAGTTGATAGGTAGTGTTTGCAATATTCCCCATTCATAGAATTTCAGAAGACTTGTTGGTTTTGCTTTCACTACAAAAGGAGATGATTGTTAGCAACATAAAACCTGGCTACTACAAACTGAAGTCTTCCGCAAACCACCTTCTTTCATTAAACTTCGCACATTATCCCCTAGTTCAGACCGGCCTGCCTCATCATACATATTTGCAAGAATATCATAAATCTCCAAATCAGACGGGTCATGATCAAGCCCTTGCCTCGCCATCTCCTCACCAAGAATCATATTCCCGTGCAATTTGCATGCACGCAACAGTTTTTTATAAACCGGACCATCATTAACACAAGAAGGCATGGATTTTATCAAGCTCACAGCTTCCTCTAATCTGCCCGCCCTTTCAAAAAGATCGACCAACAAATTATAGTGATAAAATTGTGGCTTTATGTCGTATAGTTCTCTCAAAGATCGAAAATACTCGAGGCCCATGTCAAGTAAGTTTCCTTTATCGCAAGCGAATAAGACAGCGGAGAGCGTGTGAGAGTCGGGCCTGATTCCAGCCAACCTCATGTCTTCTAGGGTCGAGAGAGAGGACGTTATATGTCCATTTAGAGCAAAAGCGTAAATCAAACTGTTCCAAGAAAAGACGTCTGGTTTAGATGTTTCGTCAAACGCTTTCTGGGCATCCAATACGCAACGGCATTTCCCATAAAAATCGATCAAACCATTTGAAACCGATATGTATTTTCCAAACCCGGACACAATGGAATAGCAATGGAGCTGTTTTCCAGTTCTCTTGGCGCCTAAATTGGCAGAGGCCGATAAAAGGCCAGATATAATGAAGCCATCTATCTTCAAATCATCTTCACGTATATGACCAAGGATTTCAAGAGTCCGTTCATACCGTCCCATCTGATTCAACTTCGAGGCAAGAACAGTGTACGTGATGACATTTCTGCTACTCAATTGTCTTGCGAGACTTACTGCACAATCCTCCATGTGCAGCCCTGCAAAGGTTTCAACAAGTGTATTTCCAACCATGATATCAACATCTGCATTGGTTTTAATAATGAGCCCATGAATCTTTTTTGCCTCTGTTGGAGATTGTGTCGCACCACAAGCTTGAAGTACATGAGAGAGAGTAAAAGAGTTAGGCCGCAAACCGTAAAACTGCATTTCGATAAACGCAAGAAAACAATCTTCTTTATGACCATGTTTAGCCAAACCGGCAATTAAGGTGGTCCAAGAGACAACATTTGGATGAGTAATTTCCTCAAACACGCGCAGGACATCTTTTTCATCATTTGAACACTTTGTGTAGAAATCTAAAAGAGCGTTCCCCACTGAGACATCATCTTCTACCCCGTCCATTATAATCTGTTTGTGCATTTGCTTCCCCAATATCAAATCACGAGCCGACGAGCAGGCATTTACAATAGCAGCATAAGTATAACTATTTGGAAAAATATTACCAGCAACCATCTGTTTGAACAAAATTACAGCCTCTCGAAAGTTCGAATTCTGTGTACAGCCACTAATAAGAGAAGTCCATAACTGCACATCTTGATCGGGTGTTTGTCTCAAGACCTTCATAGCATCATCCATCTTTTGGCATTTTGCATACATGTCGACAAGAGCTGTCTTAAGAACAACATTCATCCTAACACCGAAAACAACCAATTGGGCATGGATTAATTTCCCATAGCCGAACCCCAAGAAAGTACAAGCACTCAGAAGCTTCACAAAGGTGTACTCGTTCGGAAAAACACCTTCTTTCACCATGCGAGCGAAAAATCGTATTGCTTCAACCCATTTTCCAGCATTCACGAACGACGAAATCATCGAAGTCCAAGAAACTGTATCCCCATTCACCATGTCATCAAAAACCCCAACTGCTTCCCCCAAAGAACTGCATTTAGAATACAACTCGATCAAGCCACTACACAATACTGGGTTCGACCCAAAACCGTGTTTTATCACGCACGCGTGCACTTTCGTGCCACGGGCAAAATCAGGTAAACCGGTGCATGATCTCATCAAATTAGAAAATGTGAACTCGTTTGGTCTCTCGCCAGAAACTCTCATCAGGTCAAATAATCTGAGGGCTTCCTCGTAATTCCCATCTCTCACATAAGCGGATAAAAGGCTTGTCCAGGAGACGACATCTCTGTGGGACATTTGGTCGAACAGGCGGCGTGCGTGTTCGACCCCTTCACATTTTGCGTACAGGGACAAGAGACCGTTGTTGAGCGGTAAATTGTCCTGAAAGCCCGACTTAAGAATCGGGCCGTGAACGCATATGCCATCTTTCAGAGAGTGCTTGTTGCAAATATATATTATCCTTGAACAAATTTCTTCGAGGACATTGGTCCTCAACATTTACTATCGCTTGAAGAAGAAAAAACTCAACTCTTGTTGGCCCACTTTGAGGTGATATAGAGATGCAAAGTTATTTTAAAAAATGTTGTTTGTTTACAAGTTAACTAAAAAAAAATAAAAAAATCAGTTTTTCCTATTCGTATACAATAAACTTTAGAAAATTACTAGACCAAAAACTAGTAGATAGGTTTTGGTTGAAGTAGACAACTAAGTTCAATTTGGTGGTAAGATGTTTTGCTTATGATCCATAGGTCATGTATCTTTGAGGCATCCCATAAAATTGGAACGATACATAGAAGGTTTGCATGTCTCCCGCGCAAGGAAGACACGCATAAATTGAGAAATGATCTATAGATCATGTGTTTGAGTCAGTGATGAGAGGAAGTGAGTAGGACTGCACATTCGGTCAAAACCGAACCGAATTGACCGAATTTTCGGTTAACCGAAAATTTAGTTTGTCCAATATTAAAATCGAAAACCGGATCGAAATCTACGGTTTGGTTCAATTTCAAACCGAAAATCGAGCGGTTTGATCGGTTCAGTTATTCGATTATTCGATAAAATGGTGCAATGAAACAAATAAATCTACAACCTGTCAATTATTATAATTTATAAAACATACTAAAATGCCTACGAAAAAAATAAAATAATAATAATTTGGGTGGCGAACTGTATCGAGTGACGGGTGGATTGTATGCGAGACGTGGAGCAGTGCATGTGGAATTCCATGCCCAACAAATTATTATGATTCTACAATCATGAAAATTGTTTTTTTTTTTTTTTTGTTAATTTGAACAAATTATGATTCTAGACTGCAATGATCGATTGTAATTAAATTCATGGAAATAAACTTTTTTTGGGAGGCGAACCTATTGTCAGACGAGTTCACCCATTATTATTATTGTTTTTTTTTAAGAATAGATATTCTTTAGGGTTAATTGCATAAAAAACTACCACCTTTTGTTTATTTGCAATTAAACAAAAAGTGGTGGTTTTTTATGCAATTAACCCTATTCTTTAAATGAAATATTTCCTTCAAGTTCAAATTTAAACATCTCTACTTAATATGTCATTATCTCTATTCAACATAATTTTGTTTTCAATAATCTAAACTTATTTTTTTTTTTTTTAAATTAACAAAATTTTTAAACAATTCTATACTAATTTTTTCAACAGTTCCTTAAAAAAAATCAACTTGAATTCAAAAATGGATGAAATGAAAATTTATTCAAAATTTGAACAATTTAAAATTTTAAAATCATTTCTTAAATGAGACATTTTGTTCAAGTTTAAATTCAAAAATTATTCCTTAAATTAATGATTTTGTTCAACTTAAATTTTCAAAATTTTGATTTCAAAATCTCGGTGTAATAAAATTTATGAATTTCTAAATTAAAAATACCAGTACACATTTTTTAAAAATATAAACTCCATAATTATAAAAAAAATACGGGTTGAATTCAATTTGGACAAATTTATATTGCTTTTAAATTTGTACCATTTTTTTAAAAATGTATATTGTTATACCACACAAACCTGGACCGCTGGACCGCTCCTCCTCGAACCGGGTTACGTCTCCTTGATCGCCGGTACCTGCAAAACACGCCGGGGGTGGTCCCGGCGCG